TATATGGCTCTGAAATTTGAAGCAGAAATGAAAAAGATGAGGCCCTATTACAGGTTTCCAAAAACAGTCTGCAGCAGTCAACCTCAAGGGGTTAGAAAGCTAAAGAAGAAGATGACTATTCTGTGCTACTTTATGTGAAGTAAAAACTTAGCGTACATTTGACATTATGATTTTTTTAAATATATTTCATACACTATTCACTATTCGTATTCGTATTCGGCTGAATAGTTGGTCTCGTTATTCGTATTCGGCCGAATAGTAAAAATCACTATTCGGTACAGCCCTAATATATATATATGTATATATATATATATATATATATATATATATATATATATATATATATATAGAGAGAGAGAGAGAGAGAGAGAGAGAGAGACTATGAGATGCTTCGAAATGAAATAGTTAAGTATACAGAATCTACACACACACACACACATGCATTCTTGTGAATTTGTACTGATTATCTGTTTCCTGTGTGTTTTTAAAAACAATGTAGACGCGAAAGCTGAAGACTTCTTCTGTGGTAAAGTACTGGTAGGCAGACAGTTGAAGATTATTGATGAGAACGGCGATGAGTGCGGGCCGAGGCAAACTGGGACCATTCTAACTCGAGGTGAGATATTCATATATCCACAGAACATATTTAAGTAAGAGACGAATGTTCAAATATAGTCTACAACATTTTCCTTCTTCTTCTTCTTCTTCTCTTCCACCTTGTACCTCATCGAAGTGTCGGGGGGAGATGTAATGTTCGTTGATGAGCTCTGTCAAGATCACTAATAAGACTGATGTTCATTTCTGTAAGGCTGTTCTTAATGCCATCATTCCATATTTTCCGAGGTCTTCCACTCGCTTTATACCCGTTGTAACGTTTTAGTGTGGCTCGCTGTGGCAGATAGTACCAGGGCATTCTTGTTAGGTGTCCAAACCATTTCATTTGTTGTTCTTTGATGACCTGTAAGACTGGCTTTATTCCTAGCATTCGTCTGATTTCATGATTTTGTATTCTGTCTTTCCTCGAAACTCCTGCAGCTCTTCTAAGGCATTTCATCTCTGTTGTCACAATTTTACGTTTATTGGAGGATGTAAGTGTCCACGTTTGGCACTGATAGCATAGTATTGGCCAAAAAATAGTTCTGATAAGATTCACTTTAGTACTCCGAGGTATCTGCTTGTGTGTCAACAGGGGAGATAGATGACCCATTACTTGAATAGCTTTGGCACATCTGGAGCTAATTTCTCTGTCCAGTTTTTTGTCTGATGTAAAAATTGCTCCCAAATACTTAAATTCCTCTGTTTGTCTCAGGGTGTTGTTTTTTAATTTAATTTCTAAATTGTCTTTATGTCTTCCTATCATCATTGTCTCTGTCTTCGTAGTGTTTATTTTCATATTATATTCCTCCCCTTTGTTACTAATTTGATTTAGGTGGTTCTGTAGGCATTCCATATTTTCTGCTATGAGTACCTGGTCGTCACTTCCGAACATTTTCCTGTAGGGTGTAAATCATTGATCTGTCAGTTATTTTGTGTATCGCTATCCCATACAACAGTCGAGTTCTCAGTTGTTCTTTAATCTCATACTTGCTGCCCCAGGGACGATCTCAGGACTGGTGAAGACCTGTCTACGTCTCTCTCTTCTGAAACTGGGGTGGCTGTGGTTGGGCTGACGGTGGAACTTGAGTTTTGTAGATCGGATCAGTAAAAACTATCAAACGAATGACGAACTGCTATGTATTGAAAGAGTTAAAGGTAAGTAGTTCAAGTTGACCACTCACAACATGAATTAACTCTTTCAGTACCAAGTGATTAGTGTTTTCCCCGAACATAAATCTTGCTTTATCCACTGCTATATAAATAGTTCACTATGAATGCCACCAAATACCGCACACTAATGAATAACTCCCTACGCGACAAAAACAAAATATTACTCACTTTTAATTCAATCTACACACAACACTACGTTACCACACGTTTATAAATAATTCCCTTTATTTTACTAAATCAATAAAAATATTAGTGTATGTCGTTGTAGCATACGATACCAGGGGGTTGGGGAGGGGGATGATCGCACACCTACTAAGTATCTAGAGGATAGCTTACAACGTGAGTACTCCACACTCTAGAAAGCTGCTTCAGACGATGGATTTCTGTAGGAGCGCAAGAACAGGACAGCGACAACCCGAGCACCACAATAAGCCAGACACAAGCAACCAGTTGCATCGTAACCAATAAAACAGCTTACGAGTCCTACAATATACCACACCAAGTGTCATCTGATAGTGCAGTCACTCTCTTTTATTATGAACGAACACACTGATAATAAACTGGTTATCGATGAACAACCGTCCCTCTCCTCCTTTCTGCCAAATACGCTTCCATTAACAGTCTCTAGAACACGATAAAACGCAATCCACGCCTACACTCTGTGCCTACATCGCTGATATGGATAACTCCTGCCCTTACCAGTCCACATCCATCTTTCGCGATGGCAGTGATCATTGTAAGACGGCTCTCTATCCAAGAAACCCCGCAAAAACTGAGGTTTTAAGGTAGCACCAAATTTATTTGTACAGTGCAGGCGATCTGCAGAATAAAAGATCACCCATCCTTGCGCTACAAGGGACTTTAAAAAATCCTTACACACACACATCCAAACTCTTAGACCAGCTGAAAGCGACTGATTGAAACTACACTGAGGTTTTCTCACCTGTGGTTGATTTCACGTGGGTCTCACTTTCCTTGCCAAAACCCGGAGTTCCCAGTCCAATCTATAATACCAAGTCATACAATTTTTAACTTCGTAGTAAGACACAAGCGATAGATTAACAGCATTATGAGACACAAGAAGTGATCGGTTAACAGCAACCTGGGACACAACAAGTGACGAATGAACAGCAACATGAGACACAACAAATGATAGATTAACAACAACCTGTGACACAACAAATTATGAATTAACCTCACCTTGGGACACAACTAATGATAAGTTAACAGCAATCAGGGACACAACTAATGATAAGTTAACAGCAATCAGGGACACAACTAATGATAAGTTAACAGCAATCAGGGACACAACAAGTGATGGCTTAACCGCAACCGCAGCTCTTCTCTCTCTCTCTCTCTCTCTCTCTCTCTCTCTCTCTCTCTCTCTCTCTCTCTCTCTCTCTCCCAGTCAGATCTCACTTACCTTTCCATTCTTTTTCCCCTAGTCTCTTCCTTCATTTCTGTATCTCCTTCTATGTGTCCTTCTCTCTTCTCTGATGGTGACTCTTCTCTCTCTCTCTCTCTCTCTCTCTCTCTCTCTCTCTCTCTCTCTCTCTCTCTCTCTCTCTCTCTCTCTCTCTCATCTCGCTGTGCGTGCATGTGGCCATCAAATAAAAAATGAAAAGTATTTGTCAGAATTGTCAGAAACCACGTAAAAAACCGTTATTTAGAATCTAAAGCACTAAGAAACAGATATGGCAACATTGTGGTCTTGCACAGTTTTAGTGACACCACCAAATAAGGAAGGCAAGTGTTTTTAAAAAGAGTGGATTATTCACGATACGACAATGTTTCCCCTACAGTTAATCATTATGTAAGATCACTCAACAGATACATTAGTCAGTATGATGTATGCATTATCACATATCTAACAACACATACAGCATTTACAGATATTCTGCATAATCACTTAGAATATACGGAAAATCTGTTAACCCTTTCACAGCGATCATGTATGTTTCCTAACATTGTTGTTCGCCCCGTTGTTCTTTTATAACCCAATGAGCCTTCACCGGTTAGTCGGTTTTGAGAAATTAAGAGACATTTCCAGACAACCGCTGGCATCAGTTTTAGAACAATAAATAATGGCAATACACTAGGCACATCGCACGGAGAAATATAGAGAGAATGGCAAAGCAGGCACTGAAATGAGAAATAACCGGATTTCTTTTTAAAAGGACGTTAAAGAGAAAACCTTACACGAAAGTTGTTGATGGAGGCTCAAAGTGCTGGACGATATGGAACCTTAGCACAGGATAAAATTGGGGGGGGGGGGGACCCAGACTGCGAGCCATATGTGACCTATAAAGGCACAGCATGATGATAATTGTGATATTATGAAGATCATGACGATGAAGATGACGATGAAAATGATAATTACGATGATTACAGCTTAAGAATTACAGAGAACGGACCACCCAACATTTTCTCCACTCCCGTGCTATCAACCCCCCTTTCCCCCCCCCCCCCCCCGACCCAATAAATGTCTATCCCCGTTCCATGTGAAGAGTTGAAAAGACAGCAGTCATGTAAAACCAACATCTCGCATATGATTTAATTTCATAAGGCAGCTCTCCGTGTTGACAAAACCCAAACTCCGTCACTAGCAATAACTCTGATCGTGGAGGGAAGCAGTAGTCACGACAAACCAGCGTTTGCACACGCACACACACATAAGGAATATCACAAGCTCCGTGGGAATCGGCCACGAGTCATGTTTCCAAATATACAGTTCACAACACAAACCACCAATGCCAAATGTGAAGAGCATTCTACATGACATCCACTGCTCACAGTGCCGCAACATGCGTCTGATGCAGCAGCTGGGCGACAGAACCATGTACTTCAAGTCAATGTTTGATTATTTTTTTTAATGCATCAACAAACAGTTGCCAGTAACAAATAACAACCTATAGTTGTAAAAGGTATCTTTCCTGATGACACATCGGACTGGAAGCATTATGTCCCACAATTACTTTAAATAGCTCCACCGTAACTGTGTTGTTGAAATCATATAGTCTTAACGACATGTAAATTAAAGTTGGCAGATCTTATGATTTAAAACATTGTCACCACATTTGCTTGTGAGTGAAAGATGTAGCTATCATAGATAAGATAGGCAAACCAAATACTAATAAATGAAGCAATAACAGGATCCGAATAAAATAGAGATATCTGAGTAACTGACATCGAGTCGTGCCGCACAGTAATGACTGTCCTTCATTTTTGCTTTCTCATTGTAATACATTAGTAAAACTTCGGCCAGCCCCGAATTTCTCCTCCGCTAGTTTCCTTAGCCTCTGCTTGTCCGGTTTGCCAGTTGGGGTCTCCGGAAAACTGTCCAGGACCTGCAATTGTAAGAGAAGAATAAAAGCTAGATACAGGCGTCAGGTTGTGGTAAATTAGATAATGCCTGATTACCGGGGAAACACTGTTGTGTTTACGGGCATGGGGACTCTGGCACCTTGAGACTCCCAAAGATTGTGTGAGGCATGGAAACTGGGGACCTCCCCCTCCCCCTCCCTTACAGTGTCATGGGTAGGCAGGCTTAGCGTTTACCTCCTCCTTCACTTAGATGTGTTCAAAGGTACTAAGTGGTCATCCTAGCCATGTAAAAGCGTTCGACATTTAAGTATTTATCTATATTTTGCATATTATTTCAAATATATTATCATATTTACTGGCCCTTTAACCCATAAAAAATAGTGTGCACTAAAACAAGGCTTAGGTTTCAGGCGGGCCGCGTCTAGAGAATGAATAAGAGAGCTGATATTTACACTAGCTCTGCTAGCTCTACCACCCCCCCCCCCCCCCCAATCCCCCACAACCGCCGCTTTAAACCCATTGTTTTATTTGGGCCATTGGTTGTAGCTAAACTGTGAGAGGTATTCAGTACTTGGTAATTCCGGTCAAAATGGACGCTAGGCAGGGGTACTGTTTTGAGCCGAGGCAAATATTTGCTTCTGCCGGGCGAAGGCCGATGCATTTTTGCTTCATTTGTAGTCTGGATATAGTTTCGTCGCCCAGCTTCTGAGTTGAATTGGGAAGAACCATAAGGGAAACTGACAGAAGAAGTCTGGGCAACGAAAGGACATGTCTTGCATATGCTGCGGGAGCATTCAGTAGTCCCAAAAGGAAGGGCTGTGTGGATCGTTGGGAGTCAGTTTTTGACAAGTATGTCTTTAAGGTTGCGGTCTCGTCTATAAACGAGTCTTGGCTTTTCACTAAAGATCATATTGGTGTCTGGATCAGAGCGGAGAATGTCCAAATGACGAAAGAATATTTTGAAAGCAACCACAATGTTAGGGTGAAAAATCCAAATCAATTTGGGCCTATGACTTTTTTAAATTACGTTTGGTGGAAAGAGCATCTCTCTCAGAATGCATGCGTGACACTGCAAGCTGCGGATTTCATTTAGAATGTTTTTTTCGACTGTGACCAACGTGGTGGTGTGAATTGTAGATTTAGAAAATGGCGCGACCGCGATTCTGTCGTCGCAATGTTGGTGGTGCCCGTATGTGATTAAAATTGATCGCGTCGGCAACTTCTGCTACCAACAATGATGAATTGCATTTCTAATGTCGGACTGTTTGTGTTAGCCATTTTTATGGCTACCGTAAGCTTTAATGAGTGTGTATGCTAGATCTGCTGAGACAACAGTTTGTCAATCTTCCACAAGGGACTGGGATAAACATTCTGTGTGCTTTTCGTTGGCACAGGAGCGGGGCAACGATAGGGTGACCTGTTTGTTATGAAGCTGAAACTAAGACTACCACAGATTACTTGGTAATTGACTCGCAGTATTCAGATACAAATCTACAAGTGGATGTACTAGAATGGCGTTAGGCTCGATTGCAAGGGAAAATGCTTTGGCAGAAGTTACATTAGTTCCAACAGTGGTACTGAGAGCTGACCGTTCAGTAAGCAATGGCAAACTACTGTGACAATTGCTCAGGAAAACCACAACACCGCACACAAAATTGCTACGTTTGGTTCTGCAATCCTGTAAGGGATATGCAACAAACGTAACTATGGTGCTGGGACTGCCGATTGTTTGTGTGGCACGTATATGCTACTTGATTGGCACCTTTGATGGCGAACGCTTGTGCGATCATGATTCTTCATATCTAGAATTTTCAGACACCTTTTCTTGTTATGACAACAGCTGTCAACAATCGTCTCTGGTAAACTTTACATGTCTTTCTTTCCATAATTTTGTTCAGTAGTTACATTTTCTAGTTTTGTTTCTTCTCGTATTGTGTCTGAAAACATCTGGTGTGATATTTGTCAAGCCGATGGGACAGGAGGGGATGGGGTTTATTTATTTGTTGTTGTTGTTCAAATCACATCTTGTTTTGCTTGTTTGTAAGGTAAAGAGGAATAATCCAGCAATGGTTACCTGCTGTCACATATCGACGAACACTATCGGTTCTGGTCTAATCTGATAGGAACAAAATCAAACTGTGTTTACAATTATTAGAATCTCTTACAAAACTCCAGAAGAAGAAAGAAAAAAAAAAAACGAAACAGAAACACATACACAAGTTTGTTGTCATGGCATCTCACACATATAACACTACCATAAAATACTTGGGCATGGGCGTCTGGTAGCTGTTCAAGTCGGCAATGAAGATACTTTCACAGTAGGACTTCAGTTGGTCTTCTGTCACGTTGCTTCCGCTGACTGGGGTCACACATGCGCAGATCTCGTGATACCGTACAGGGTCAGATACCTGAGGAAGCATCATCTTCAATAAGTTGGCTCTACAAGGGTGTGTATGTGGAGAGGGTGGGGGGGGGGGGTTGAAACATTATAGCCAGCGGGTACTTTAAATGTTGTACCTAAAATGGTTCATAAAATAAACGGACGTTACATAAATGTTTTGTGTAATAAATTAAAGTGTGCTGTACCATACTTGTGTTGACTAATTAGCACTCGATAATTATTGCGGTCAACATGACGCCCACCGTCTTTACTTAGTGGACATTTCTTAGTACCCACTGTAAGCGAGAACTACCTAATCATCGTTAGTTATAGAGAGGTCGGTTTGAACCCAAAATCCTCAGGCTGACAGGCAGGAAGTAGAGTTAGCTTCCCCAAAAATACAATTGCGAACGATGTAGCCAAACGTTATTGCTACAACTCATTATTCAGAATTTATAAAGAAAACGTGGACAATGATATACTTACATAAAAAACTACATATAAGTACTCTTCTTCACTGTCTACCCAATATGGAGGATAGGCATGGCAGATAATTTAGCTGTGAAGTTATATTTACTTTTAATCAATTATTTAATCCTTATAGCGCCCAGAGGCACATAAGGCACAGACACACTGTCGCCACTCAGTTCGATTCTGAGCCATTCTTTCTATCTCAAGTTTGGGCCTTCGCGTTGCCTTGAGTTTAGCCTCAAAGGTTTCCCTCTGGACCTGCCTCTTCCTCGCTATCCTTGTGGTGTCCATTGCATTGCCTGTCTCGGCCGTCTCTCTTTCTTCATTCTGAGGACGTGTCTTGTACACCTCCATCTTCGTTTTTTGATTTATAAATTTACATCTTCTAAATCTGTCGGGTTTTTTGTTTTTTGTTGTTGTTGCTGTTGTTGTTGCTGTTGTTGCTGTTGTTGTTGCTGCTGTAATCTAGAATTGCTAATTTTATTTCCTATGTGAATCCCAACAATCTTCTAAAAAGACTTCCCACAAAACCTCTGAGCATGCTCTCTATCGTTCTGTCTGTTTGCAAGTTTCTGCTCCATGGAGGAGAACTATCCTAACGCATGTTTTGTATATGCTGAGTTGAGTTTTGGTGCTGTAGATAAAACCTACATTTTCTATTACTGTAAGTCTTTGACTTTTGCGGTTTATATCCAGCAGTTTTGTTTTCCTGACATTGATTCTTAACCCTGTCTGTTTTGTATTTTCTGTGATCTAATCTCTTTTTGTGTTGCTGTTGTTCTTTACTTTGGCTGATGACACATATATCATCCGCAAAGACTAAATGTTCATGTTGTTCGAATAGGTTTCACTATATATATATAAATGTATATAAAGAGAGAGAGAGAGAGAGAGAGAGACGGAAGATTAAGATTTCCCAACCTAAGCTCCTCCTAAGTGCTTGGTGCAGCACTGTAAGCTGTGCTTTTCATGTGTAATGCCGTTCATTTGTGTGTGTGTGTGCAGTAGTTTTGTCATGGTATTCAGAATTACGGATAGCTCATTTATGTGTTGGCTGGCGAAATACCGAATGCACCTGAGTATATCCATTACCCATAGTGACTTGCCGGATTGCAAACGTTACCGAGAATTGCCTGAGACTCATGTCGGTCTCTATTCCAATTCCTATTCGATCGGTATGTACATCATTGTCTGCGGTGCTCTATTGGCAGTTAGTTTCCTTTTCTAAGTGAGTACTTTTCTTTGAATAACCAAAAGGATATTACTTGCTGACTTGACAGGCTAGTGTCTCCGGGTCAGCCGGTATGTGGGGAAATGAGAAAGACTGGTCGGCTCTGCACCACTTGGTGGTAAAGTGATGTATGACAAGATGTCGTCAGGGCCCTTCGGGCGCGAGTGAACAGTGTGGAGGCGCAGAAATATCATTACGGTCTGAGGAGAATGGCGCTGCGAGGAGTTACCTGGGGATCTGGCAGACGCTCAACCCTCAGGGGGAAAACCAGACCTTATATACAGTCATACAGTTACTGGTGCCATCGGAACTATAACGTTTCGCTTGCTGCTGAAGATTGGGACGGACCGCTTATGGGAATGCACGAGTACTGTGATGTGGATTCTCAATTCAACATTTTTTTTGTAGGCTACTGGCATATTTAAGCCCCCCTCCCCCCTCCCCCACAGCCCCAAAACAATAAAACAAATGACCTAGATGAATCCTTCTACCCAGGTGAGCAAGGATCTCACTAGCCATGACATAACAACCATGGTTTCTCGGTCTACACCAAACATGAACTGTTTAATATGATAAGTTTTGTCCAGAAACGTTTAGTTATTACAGTTTATGTGTGTGTCCGTAGATCTCATTATCTAGTTTGCCCGTACATCTCATTATCTAGTTGGCCCATAGATCTCATTATCTAGTTGGCCCGTAGATCTCATTATCTAGTTGGCCCGTAGATCTCATTGTCTAGTTGGCCCATAGATCTCATTATCTAGTTGGCCCGTAGATCTCATTATCTAGTTTGTCCGTAGATCTCATTATCTAGTTGGCCCGTAGATCTCATTATCTAGTTTGTCCGTAGATCTCATTATCTAGTTGGCCCATAGATCTCATTATCTAGTTGGTCCGTAGATCTCATTATCTAGTTTGCCCGTAAATCTCATTATCTAGTTTGACCGTAGATCTCATTATCTAGTTTGCCCGTAGATATCATTATCTAGTTGGCCCATAGATCTCATTATCTAGTTTGCCCGTACATCTCATTATCTAGTTTGCCCGTACATCTCATTATCTAGTTTGTCCGTACATCTCATTATCTAGTTTGCCCGTAGATCTCATTAGCTAGTTTGCCCGTAGATATCATTATCTAGTTTGACCGTAGATCTCATTATCTAGTTTGCCCGTAGATCTCATTATCTAGTTTGCCCGTACATCTCATTATCTAGTTGGTCCGTACATCTCATTATCTAGTTTGCCTGGAGAGTGAATTGCTGTGTTATGAAGTTCTGTTGTCTAAACGTCTAAAAGTTTGTCATCAAACATCTGGAAAGCTCTGCTTTAGATATTCATAATAGTTACTACATAATAATATTAATAATAATTTGATAAATGTTGGCACATACAAAAAATGTAATAAATATTAGCACCTACAGGCAAGACGAAAGCATCAGCCACGTCAGGATGTTGAAGGATTTCTGCCTCTAGCCACCCCGGATACAGGACATAATTTCCGTACGTGATCGTGTCCTTGTTCCTGCCCAAGACGTAGAGGTTTTTGTCTTCATCCCAAAAGCCGAGATCCTCCGTGTTGAACCATCCATCCTCGGTGAAACATTTGACAGTGTTTGGATCTGGGTCTTCTAGTCGGTTAAAATAACCTTTAAATATGTTCCCACCTGTAATGACAACAAATTCACTTTAGTGCTATGAAAAAATGGGCATACTTTCTCTAATACTTTTTATAATGAGATTTTTATTTTCATAATATTTATTGTCTGTTTGTGCTGTTCAGATTAAAATTACTTTAGGTTCGAAAGGTCTTTATGCAAAGTAATGGAAAATAAAACTGTAACATGCCGGACATGTAGACAAAAAGCGACTAAAATGAATTAGCCTGAAAACAGGATCCCTACAGTCGAGACGTTATCCAGAAATAAATTGACAAACCAGTTATGTATGGAAGCTCAGCAAGGATGGACAGGTGTCGAAGTGCCGCCAGACCTAAGTGACGTGGCTCTGTAGTGAAAAATAACGAAGCTGGTACTGTCCTTCAAGTCGGTAACCGGGGAATTCGAAAACGACAAAGCCAGACTCACGAAGATGTTGTGGTAGTCTCCAGATCCATCAGTCAGCATTTCCCAGCCCGCGATTAAGACTGAACGCACTTGGAAGTTCTACTGTGCCATCTATTCTGCGCAAGAATCGTTGCAGCTGAAGGAAGTCATGGAGTCACCCGCACCAATAAGCTTGGCTTCGGACAAGCGTCCAAAGCAACTACATGGGAACGCAGGAATGTAGAGACACAACAGATCAGGTACATAGAACTGCGAGTCTACAAGGCTGATCAACAGTCGTGGCAAGGCCAGTGAGTATGGTAGAAAGGATCATTGTTGAGCTACCTGTCCAGAAACGATATGTAGCGAATGGCACCACGGGGACTGAGTCTTCATATCAGAATTGAGTACGATTTATTGCTCTCAGCTGCTGAACTTGCTGACTAAAATAGGTAATATGGTAGTATGGAACATCGCAACAGTTGATTCATGTGCAGCAAGATGGGGGAGGAAGGCTCAGACTTACCTTGCGCTCAGACCAAATTCACGAGTTTTGCCCTCGGGTAAAGCTGCTTCTCTCAGGCTAGTGTTAATTCGAAGCCAGTCGGGGGGGGGGGGAGGAGGGGGGGGGGAAGTGGAAAGAGGGGAGGGGGGTATGAAAAATCAATATGATAACTGTGCAGCATCGGGTATCGCCGGGCACCTGAAGCAGGCTGGCAACGAGGGTTTTGTCCGGTATGAACAACTGACTCACTTTTGGCCAACACGATTGCCGCTGCCTTCCGCAGGGCACGGTAGCGGCTTGACGTACACTACTAGCGACCACCATCAGATACCAAGGGTCAATAACGATAACCATATCACTTGTTTTTGTCACCAAGGATTCAGAGCACAGCAGGGAAGTCCTGAAATTAGTATCTTGACCAGGATTGGTCAACCACATGGAGTATGTAGAAGATAGAGGCCGAAATATTCGTCGAAGGGGACTTTTTCTGATGTCGAAGTACTCCTGTTGTGTTTGATTCTCCGTTGAATACTGTCTGCATACCCGCTGTGTCATTGTCTAACATGGTTGTTTATATAAATTATAAAAGCATATATCAACTACTGTATGTAAATATAAAACTAAAGAAAAATTGTAACATATTTGCTGAATATAAAAGAGAACAGCATAACACGACAATAAACAACTGAAAGGTAAAGTATTTAAGATACTATAAAAATGACCTTTGCTCTACTTAATCATTGCTCTCTTACATAAGACTGTTGTGACCAGTGATAATCTCACCTGTAGCAAGAATGGTTCCAGTCTGCCTAGACTTACACTCATCTCCGTTCTCATCGACAATTGTCAGGGTTTTGTCTGGCACTGCTTTACCACAGAAAAAATCTTCACTTTTCGCGTCTGCGTTTGTTGTTAAAACACAAAGCAGGACAAGTCAGTCAGTACAACTAAAATATGCAGGCAGTTATTTCTATATAATCTATTTGCATACAGTGCTGTTTTGATATAGAGTTGTTTGGCATAATTGTGTGTGTACCTTGCGGTATTTTCTCATGACAAAGATAAATAAACTCTAATAAAAAATATATCAACCCAAATTAAAAATGGGCCAGCGAGCTTCACAGTATAACAAACATAAACTGTAAGTGAACGTTGCGAAAACAGAGCCTTCATAAGCACATTACATAAATGGGAAAACACTAGTCACAGATAAAGAATAAATTTCCCCAAAGGTGGGATGAACATTCTAATCTTATTTTAAATCAGTTGTGGTCAGTTAACAATTATGCCATCTACCGACTCCCACAAGTCCCTTTAAATATCTAACTTGATGACGTTACTATTCTAGAAGAAACTTCTCAACTCGCCAGCTTTCTGGTGGTAAAACTCCTGGCTCTGATTAAATCCCTAAAAAGTAGACAGAGCTGGTCGGAAAACTGGCTGAGAAAACTGCTGAGATCATCCAGCAAATATGGCAAAATAAAATCATTGTAGAAGAACTCAAAGACGCATCAATAATATATCTTTACAAGGCAACAGATAATCGACAGGACTGCAAAAAATAACTGGGGCATCTCCTTCCCATCAGTAGAAGGGAAAGTACTTGCAAGAATACTCCTAAATCGTCTTACGACACATCTTGATGAAGTTCTACTACCTGAAAGTCTGTGTGGATTCCAGAAAGAGGTGGAACCACATAAACATGTCAGGAACAACAATGTAATGTGTTCATGTCTTTTATTGACCTAGCAATAGCGTTCGATTCAGCCAACAGAAAGATCGTGCAAAATGTGGCTGCCTACAGAAATGTATCATGATTGTGCATCAACTAAATGCTAAAATCCAGAATAATGGAGAACTATCTAAACCTTTCTATGTCATACACGGTGTAAAACAAGGGCATGTACTTGCACCTACTCTGTTCAGTTTTATGTTCTCAGCTGTGTTGTCTGATGCCTTTCGTGATGGAGGTACAGGAATTGACATCAGCTACCGCATCGATGGAGGTACAGGAATTGACATCAGCTACCGCATCGATGGAAAAATTTTCAACCTTAAGCATATAAATAATAAACAAGCATACACCGTTTGATCGGCACTCATAGAAAGAAGTAGAAAGATAGAAGGACACACTAGACAAACATAAAAATCGAAGTTATCGTGCCGGAAATCGAACTTGTCACCTCCAAATAATATGTGCGCCTCGCTATGGAAACAAGTGTACCAAGATGCATGACCACTAAATACCCCTTAAAAAGATGTCATTAGCCATATCCACAACTATGAAATATGGAAATCAGCATCATCATTATTAGTTCTCGTTATGCCTAGTGGTACATGAGGCTTCAGAGAGGACTTTCCATGCTTTCCTGTCCTGTGCAATTTTCAGTGCAGTTTTCCCTGTCAAAGATGCCGCACTCAGGTCACTTTCCATCGTTCGCCTCCATGTTGTTTTTGGGCGCCCCTTTTTCTCTTTCCTTCTGGTATCCATGTGAAAGCTGTTGTGGCAGGTATATCAGAAGTCATTCTCATAACGTGGCCAAGCCATTTCCATCTTCTCTTGGTAATAATACTGTCTAAAGTTTCTTGGTTTGTGGCTTGAAGTAGTTTAGTGTTTGAGATTGTATGTGCCCAGAAAAGTTTGATAATTCTACGTAGGCATGTGTGGTGAAAGGTTGACAGCTTGTGCGCATCTTTTTTTTTTTTTTTTTTTTGGTCATTCTCCAGCATTCCGCTCCATAAAAAAGAATTGGCAAAATGGCATTCTTTAGGAGACTACAGGAGTTAGTAGATAAAGTACCAGCCCATGATATTCTAGGTATTATGGAAGATCTCGATGAAAAAGTTGGTAACAACAACTTAAATAGAGAATTATCAATGGGAAATCAAGGATGTGGTACAATTAATGATAACGGGGAAAGACTGAGCGACTTCTGCACGGCGAATAGACTTGTTATAGGAGGAACACTATTTCCTCACAAGAACATACACAAGCTTACATGGATATCCCCAAATGGAAGAGATGTCAACCAGATCGACCATTTCATAGTAAACAGAAAATGGCGTGGGTCCGTACTCGATGTGCGTGTCAAAAGGGGAGCAGATGTGGGAAGCGATCATCACCTTGTAGTCGCTCCACTACGACTTAAACTCAAAAAAGTGCACACACAAGCTAAAAAACAGAGAGCACGCTACAATGTCAACCTATTTGGAGAAAAAGACATTGCCACTACGTTTATAGTAGCAAGAGTAGATTTCAAACTCTTATCAGATGACCCAAACACTCCAACTACAATCAGCATTCAAGACAGATGGAGCCAGATCAAAGTAACATACAAAACAACCAGCAACAACATATTAGGAATACGGAAATAATTCATATTTAACCATTGAAATGGCACCATAAGGTAAGTTGCGTATCCTTTACAGAACGTTGCAGAACCAACCCCAGCAGCCCCTGGCTGGTGTGTGGCTTTCCTAGACAAATTTACGTCCACTAGTTTGCCATTGCCTTCTGGACGGTCGGCTTTCTTTATACCACTGTCGAAACCAACACAAGGTGCATGGCCCACAGCTGGGATCGAACCCGGGCTCCCGGCATTACGAAGCGTTCGCATCGACTTAGCCACCGAGCCGACAATGGTACCATGTGTTACATAAATTTATATTAACCAAGCAAATGTCAAAAAAGGAACACAGCAACAATTTACAAACGCAGTAGACCTTGTAAAAGCGACATTTCAGCTTTGGTTGCGTTAGCATTTTTTTTCTAGACGATTGAAAGCAGCTTCCTAACCCAAGATATTTGTCGGCTTGGGGTTTTGGAAGTGGAAAAGATTCAAAACACGGTTCTCCGAGAGACAAAAACTATATCATTGAAGTTTCACGCTGTCCATCCATCCATTTATTAAAACAAAACAAAACATTCGAAGAGAAGTCAAGCTAACACACGGAGGTGCAGATGGTAAGGAAGTCGACTCACCTTCAACAACTGCCATAGCTAGGAGGCCGCATTCCGTGGATCCATATCCAAGGACAACTTTTTCAGCGATAGTCAAGGCAATGGCTACCTGGGACTGAGGCACGTGTGAGCAATCATGTGTTTGTTTGTTTATATTTTAATGCCATCAACATTTTATTAAACTTGCACTACGTGTATAACACTCACACAACGTGTATAACACTCACACAAGGTTTATAACACTCACACAAGGTGTTTAACACTCACACAACGTGTATAACACTCACACAACGTGTATAACACTCACACAACGTGTATAACACTCACACAACGTGTATAACACTCACACTACGTGTATAACACTCACACAACGTGTATAACACTCACACAACGTGTATAACACTCACACTACGTGTATAACACTCACACAACGTGTATAACACTCACACAAGGTGTATAACACTCACACAACGTGTATAACACTCACACAACGTGTATAACACTCACACAAGGTTTATAACACTCACACAAGGTGTATAACACTCACACAACGTGTATAACACTCACACAAGGTGTATAACACTCACACAACGTGTATAACACTCACACAACGTGTATAACACTCACACAAGGTGTATAACACTCACACAAGGTGTATAACACTCACACAACGTGTATAACACTCACACAAGGTGTATAACACTCACACAAGGTGTATAACACTCACACAACGCGTATAACACTCACACAAGGTGTATAACACTCACACAACGTGTATAACACTCACACTACGTGTATAACACTCACACAACGTGTATAACACTCACACAACGTGTATAACACTCACACTACGTGTATAACACTCACACAACGTGTATAACACTCACACATGGTGTATAACACTCACACAACGTGTATAACACTCACACAACGTGTATAACACTCACACAACGTGTATAACACTCACACTACGTGTATAACACTCACACAAGGTTTATAACACTCCCACAACGTGTATAACACTCACACAACGTGTATAACACTCACACAACGTGTATAACACTCACACAACGTGTATAACACTCACACAACGTGTATAACACTCACACAACGTGTATAACACTCACACTACGTGTATAACACTCACACAAGGTGTATAACACTCACACAACGTGTATAACACTCACACTACGTGTATAACACTCACACAAGGTTTATAACACTCACACAACGTGTATAACACTCACACAAGGTGTATAACACTCACACAACGTGTATAACACTCACACAACGTGTATAACACTCACACAAGGTTAATAACACTCACACAACGTGTATAACACTCACACAAGGTTTATAACACTCACACAACGTGTATAACACTCACACATTTTGCATGGCATTTACACAACACATGACACTTAGACAACGGATGTAAGCTTCTGTAGCTTAAAGGTTGAGAACGTAGTTTCACTTTTCCGACACAACAGTGGTTCGAGATCAGCAGCAAGCGATCATATTGTGTGATTTCACCAACGGTATAAGCGTCCTGCCGTTCAATGAGCAGTGAGAAACTACTAACTGAAGAATCACTAGTAAAACCACGCTACAACAACCAGTAAATGCTGCTGTAGGTCTGAAACCTCTTGAAAAATAGGAGGCGAAGTCATAGAGGAAAGCCAGTTCTATCTTATTCTGCGTGGAACAGTGTGCAGAAGAAAAAATTTCATTTCAAGACACAGAAGTATTGAAACATCCTCCATACAGCCCCGGCTAGGTACTATCAGACTTTCATTTGTCTGGCCCATTGAAAGAACAT